CAGCCTCTGGAATCAAAAGACCTTGGTTCAAGTCAGTTTAGCTTCTTACTTACTGAGAGATTATGATTAGATCTACTCAAGTTCCCTGGGGCCTCGCCTCGCTCCTCTATGAAACAGAGACACTGACATAAATGACGATTACATTTCATCAATGAGCAGTGGCTACTGGGAGTGTGGGTTAAAGATTGTGAAGCCAGGTGTGCAACCCAGGGTGAAAGCCTTCCCAAATCAAAAGCCTGCCATGGAGTAGAAAGGAACATACATGGCACATATTTGCCATCCCTGGAATTTTAAAGTATTCACTTGAGGAGTGTATAAATATAAAAGAAAATAAGAGTTCTGAAATTGACTTTTTTAAGCCAAGTTGTATCCAAATGCTACTGTCACTTAATAATTTCATTATTAAAGATGGGCTATTGGAAGAGAAATGAAAGGAGAAATCTTTCCATACCTTCTGTATTCAAACGAAATTGTCTTGTATGTCCTTGGTAGCAAGCATTTTATCAGTGGCCCTCTGAAGACAAAATCTCTCTTTATTATATGTGCTTTCTAAGTGACTGAAGGTGGGCTGATTTCAGACAAAGTGGGAAGAAGCTATGCTCTGGCAGGTCCAGAACAGAGATGCCATGAAAGCAAGAGGTAGGGCCTTCGAGTGCCCCTCACATCATTCCATGTAGGCAGCCACCTACTTTGCCCAGGCATTGGGCCAGCTCTGGCAGGAGATTAGATCAAGGTTATTTCCTTGTCTGTTTTCAGGGACATTAAGCTTTGTTTACCCATACAAAGTGAGGAGGAGATCAATGCAATTATGCAGAAAACTTAATTTAGAAGAAGCAAGAGGAGGAGGAGGAAGAGGAGAAGGAAAGGAGGGAAAAAAAAGAAGATAGAAGTCTTGCTTTCAATAAAGTACAAATTTTATTTTCTGTAAAGTGTGACAAAGACAGCTTTAGAAGAGATACTTCAGTGTGTTAGTGGGGGCTTGAGAGTTTCCCCTGATATTTCAAGGAAAAAATGACAAAAATAACATGACCTATCTACTACCCTGCAAACACAGTAATGGTACTATCAGTTATGTATTATGTCATTTAATCCCCGCCAGCTCTCTGAAGCGGGATCTAGGGCCTGAAGATGTCATGTGCCTGGTGCAATTTCTTGTGGTCAATAACTGGCAAAGCCCAGCCATAGAATCTGAGGCCACAATTCAAAGTGTGTGGAAAGACCAAGAAATTTTAAACAGCGCTGAAAACTCTGTGTTGAAACTCTTCTATAAATAGTTCCCTGATTATTTCTAATTCCCATTGACTTAGTATAATGCAAGCTATTCAGCAATGTGATACAGATAGATATTTCCTTTTCAAAACATTGCACAAATACATGGTTTCCTCCTTCTGTCCAGCCTGTAGGAGAAGTAGGAAAAGAGCAAGGTAATAGGAATTTACCCCCAAGCTATAAAGCCTTCCTATCCTCTCAGTAATCACCAAGGGGAGCTCCTGGTTACTAAGGAGACCATAACAGAATCCATTAGATTCTGTACAACACTTGGGTTGCCTGGCTAGAGAATGCCAAAAAAGCAAAGGAAAATATTATCGTTGTTGAAATCATTTGATGTCTATGACTAATAAAAAACATGTTGGCAAACTGAATTTTTAGAAATGCCCAAAGGCCTTAGTTACAGCTAGGAATTAATAGCATACATAGCATAAATAGCATATGCATAATAGCATACATAGATGTTAAACTATTTTTAAATGTATCTGAATAACCAAAAGGTCCCAACTGAGACCTTAACCAAACAATCTAGGTCCTTTATTCAATTTTTTATTTAAATCTAAATTTCCCCACCTCTTTCCTTATAGCTAAATAATCAAGTTTATACATTTTGAGTCACATTATCCTTGAATTCTGAGGGACCCATAGGGCTTCTTGGCCTTCTTATCCAACTTTTCACAAATACCAGAATTACCTGTAGGGTATCCCTGACAACTGTACCCACCTTAGAGTCTATGAGGGCTGAGGTGTCCATTCAGGCATGTGCTGTGCAGTGGGGGATCTGGAGGAAGCCAGAGATGGAAAGAGCTGGAGGTAAGGCAGACCTCCAATTACCTCTTGACCCAGATCCCAGAGGTTACTATGGGCCTGCCTGAAGATGTTCATCCAGTCTCTTCTTAATTATTCCCGGAGCAGGAGGCCTTTGCCAGGACCCATCCTATCTTGTTATGGATGCAGCTTTGATTGTTGGAGGGTGCTTTCTCATGCTGTGCCAAAATCTGCCTCTTGTGTTTTCAACCCTTGTTCCTCATGATATCGCTAGAAAAATACTGTTTGACTCAACTTCCTCTCCTCTGGAAGAGTCCCTCAGATAACTGAAGTCAACTGTCATGACTCCCCTGTAGGCTGTCTTCTCCAAACTAGATATCCTCAGTTTCTTTCTCAGATCATAAGGCAAATATACAAATATTATAACAATAATAAGAGGAAGAACATGTAATCACTAAAAGAGAAAGCCAAAATGGTGATCTGGAAATGAGACTTTTTCTTAAAAAGTGAGTTAAATTTTTTATTTGAAAAGCTGAAATTTTTAACTGATATTGAGAAGCACTATGTCTTCCCACTGAGTTCCTATGCACTATCCATCAAGTCATCCTGTCAAAACGGAAATGTAGCTTAACAAGATTTTTCCTTAGTGACACCATGCCAGCTCCTAGTGATAGCCATCAATTCTCACAAAGCTGCATTTATCTTTTGCTTGTGTTTATTTACTATCAATGCCTACTTTGAGAAAAGTTTCTAGAAAAATACTTTTCTGTACATGAATAGTTGTGACATAATTTCAGAATGTGAATACCATCTATTAAGAATTAAGGGAGGGACAACATAAGGAAACTGAATCTTCAGTTCTTTCTCTTCTCAATATTTTATTATGAGAAATTCCAAAGATGCAAAAAGTTGAAATAATTTTATAGCAAACATCCATATACTTAATAACTACATATGACAATTAACATTTTGCTATCTTTGATTTATCACATATCTGTTTCTCTGTCCACCCATCAACCTGTTTTACCTTTTTACACGTATCAGTGTAAGTTGCTATCATCGATATACCTAACCCCTAACACTTCAGCATGCGTATCATATCAGTTCTTTCTGTGATACCTTTAATTAGCACTCTCTTCTTCGTCGCTCTTCCCATTCTTTCCCTCATTCCCTCTATATTCTCAATTTTCATTTCTGCACCCTTCCTCCCACTTTCTATCCCCAAAGTTCTATGTGATAAAGGGAAGTGTGAGAAATGTGAGCACAGAGCAGTCTTGGAGTAGCATCAGGAAAGGTCACTGATGACCATACAGGGCCTCACAGGTGTTATTATCACAGGCCTGGGACGGATGAGGCCCTCATGAACAAGCTGATGAAAATCAACTTACAAGAGAGAGGTATAGATCAGCATGCCAACTCAAGAATTTACTGTGAGAAATACAGCTATTAAACACCTAGGCACATTTCTTGATCAGCTCAGTCTCTCCCTGAACTAATCTGCATGACAGGCCAAATTGTGAAGGATTTTGGTAAATAGAGACTCAGAGGAAGAGAGTTAGTTAGAAGGATTTAGTGGCACAAAGCAGAGACCTTATCAGCATTGATGTTTCAACAGCTGGCCAGCACAGTGCCTGATGCCAAGGAGAAGCTGCATAATTAGTACAAGGATGAAATGAATACATGAATACTATCACTCTAGTAGAACTGCCCTGTAGACTAGGTACCAGCCTGTGACTCGGGGCACCTCTCGCCTAGATCACGCTGGGTAAACTCTGCCAAATTCCACCTCTCAAACTCTCTTTGAAGAAGTTTCATGACTACCATCCTTCTTTGAATAACGCATTCGTTTGTAGCCATGTGTATGCTGTTACTTAAGTTTGGGTGAAGTCCTGATCTTCCTGCCTTGGATCTGGAAGACAACCTGTTTCTAACATGGGAGGTCTGTGTCTATCTAATCGCATCTTCAATAAACTGATTTTACTGGCTTTACTCTCAAAACACCGAGTGCCTCCCTGCTGCCTGAGTGTAGGCCTTTCAAAGACCAGGGAACATTATCTTCCCTGTGAGCGAAAACCATCCCTTTGCCTATCTCAGGATTTATGTCTGATAAGAAATGTTAGTCATTCGTTTCCCAGGCTTCCTAATTATCAGCCCATAAAGACTTGGAGAGATGAACTCTTCAGTGGAAAGGCAGCAACACACAAGTGCAAATGTAGCACTTTTCACCACAGCTTCTCTATAGTTGCAGATAAATCCAATATTGATAAATTAAATCCATTTTGAAATACATAAAGGAGGCATTGTAGTCATAAAGTCTCAACATGAAGCCTTTGGTTAGTAACAACTTCCTAATAGAGTTCTTTCAAAGAAATAAATCAGATTATTTTATAGCAAGGAATTCCTGTCCTCTATTGCTTGAAAACCGTTCTTACCTCTGACCACCTTCCCTATATAGATACCATAGTAAATATCTATAAACATCAGCATTTCATGGTAGCATCACTCCCTTTAGTGTTTATTTGAATGCAAAACATTATGGTATTAGGGTGAAAAATGACACAAAATCAAAGCTCTGACTATTTCATGTGAGTCTACATACAGAATGGGGAAAAACCCGGGTACTTCTAGGCATTAGCATCTCAGTGATAAATGCCAACTGGCAACCAGAGGTCTTCCTAATCGCCTCTATTGTAAGCAACCAAAACACGAGGTTCAGATCCAAAACCCTTCAAGAGGGCATAATACTGTGATGAAGAGAGTGGGCTTTTATTGTTGGGGATCCCAATGCTCTGACAGGAGCACATGCACTGTTTCACAGACCTCAACCAGGATTCAATCTAGATAAATAGGGAACATTTCATCTAAGCCCTGCTTCAAAGGCTATGTTTGTTCAGACATCATTAGTTCTTTTTATTCCTTTGATGCATCTGTCTCTAGTGACGGAAACTCTTATTTTTTTTAAGAAACTAAAGCACAAAAGGAAACTGAAAAAGCTACAAACGGATTTGGCAACAGCTAAGCAAGAGGCTGCCATCACAGCCCTGGAACTCAATGAGAAGATAAAGGCTCTGTGTGAAGGAAAGCCAGCCCCTAGAGGTCAGTATTACCACGTGACAGTTGCACACTGGCCCGTCGTCCTCGCTGATGTATGTAGTTATATTGTCAACAAAGGAAAAAGCAAGGCCACAGCGCCGGGCAGCATACTGGCCCAGTAGCCTGCTGGCCTGGCCTGACCTCCATTCCGCATGAATAGAGACAGCACACAAACCGCTCACCCCAGGCTGGGTTCGCTTTCACCGTAAGAGAGACAGAGAATGAACAAGCGGTTCCTTAAAGGAAAGTCTCTGAAGCTGAAGAGCCAGACTGAAATAGATCTGATAAGTGTCCTTGCACAAACTGAGTGGCAGTGAGGGAAGGGCAGGGCCTAAGAAGCAAGACCTGAAGCCCCTAGGGATGGGACTCTGCAGTGGGGCAGGGAGAGGGGCTGTCTAAAAGTGTAGACAGGGCTGTAGGCTGAGACAGGGTCAGGGAGGGGAAGAAATTAGAGTTTTAACAATAGGCAAATGAGCCAGAAACAAGCAGGGAAGGCTGGTTGGGAATGAAATTTGGGTGGTTCAGAAAAATTTTAATAGCCAATTTGGTTTGTATTTTTTAAAAAGTCTTCTCCAACTAAGAGACTATAAACACACATTGGGTAAAAAAACCCCACAGACTGTCATCACTAGCAATAATACGAGTTAACATTTAATACTGTGTGCCAGATATTTTGCAAAGTACATGCATTTAATTCTTAAAACAACTTCTGAAGTAAGTACATTTACGGATTCCACCAGAGTAAGCAGAGGCTTAGAGATGTTGATTATCTTGCCCCAAGTTAGACATGTGTGAGCAAAGCCTGGGACGTCAGCCTCCAGACAACAGCTTACCTACCCTACACCAGGCTGCCTGTCACAGCTCTCACACAGGAAAGCTATTTTGCCGCTATGCAGCAGCGACATCAAACCTCATTCTGCCTGGTGGATCTCTTGTAAAACTGTGGTTCCCTGGGACAAATGTCTTTCTTTGATGTGTGGGGCTCTTGTAAATCCAGGAACATGCCATTGTTCTTACTCTGGCTTCCTTTATTACTCATAAATAATTTTGGAAAAAGAGGAGGAACCTGGAAATAAATGAAGGAGGAGGAAGTAGATGATGTGGTGGCTTCAGAAAGTGAGACACTCCCAGCATCCCAACCCACATGATAAAGCTTTTAATATGAGTTTGGTTTTATTTTTCAATTTTGAATAACACTTTCCCAGGGTTGAAATGGAAACAGTCACCTTGAAACATATGCTGAAGGTCAATTTGTTTTTCTCTTTCAACAGAACAACATAAAGATAGTTTATGAATTTTCTTTTACCACCATGAAATCTAAAAAAATAAAATCCTTTAGAGAATATTATCCATGTAAAGGTCTTTGTTCTAGGGGATCAGAGCCAGATTTCAAGTTGGTTGCATAATGAGAATCCAAGAACGATTGTAGAGCATATTGGAAAAAGTTCTCGAGCTCACTTGAGAGAAGCTCTCAACTTTTCAGTTGTACTTTAAATCTAGAGAAAAAAGATATTATTGCAAGGTATCTAATTCTCATTACTCATTTTTGACAAAAATAGTATTTGCTGTCTAATCACAATTTTGACCCTTAGATATTTTGATAGGTCAAAATTAAAATAATGCTGAGGTACCAGGACTCTAATGGTTTCGGGGAGGGTAGAAAACTAAATCCCACGTTACCTTCTTTGCCCATTTTTTCTCTATATTTCTGTTAAAAAAAAAAAAAACTACAGTACAGAAAAACATTCTAATGTGTTATGAACAGATACAAATTTAAATAAAGCCAAGTATTCCAAGGTCGACTATGGCTGAAAACAGCGACTCACTTTTGGACCTACATGTTGCTTGTCTTACTTGGTGGAGAAACTGAATCAGTGGACTGACATTTAGCACGAACATCTTAAATCAAATATTTGCACATCTTTCCTCTCCGGTTGATCCCAAGCAGTCTCACCCTCAATTCAATAACCTGGGAGACTGTCAAGGCCTTGTGGCCCCAGAGTAATATTAGCTCTCATCCACAGAGACCTTGGCCACCTCTCAATTCACTTGTAAGGAGTCTGAAAAGTTGTCAATAACTTTAACACACAATGACCCCCATTTAACCACAGAACAATTAGGGTTGACCCACCTCCCACACACATTCCTGGACCAGATTACCACCCCTTCCCTAGTTACCTTGTGCCTTTTTATAAAATGTTTGTTTTCAGTTCTCAGACCTCTGTTTGTAAATGACAGATGCTCCAGTCATAATAGCTTAAGGAGAAAGGGTGATGTATTGACATAAGTGTAAACAAACTAAGAAAGGACATGCCATGAGTCTCAGAGTCCAGTGAATTCCAGGTCTCAGATACCATCATGACACTCTGTATCTCTCATCTCTGCTTCTCTCTGCATTGAGTCTTCATTCTCTCAAGCAGGATGTCAAAAGAGAAAGTCCATAAACAGCTATGGATTGCCCTCCTTATCTGTCTTCCAGAGAGGAAAGAAAGCATTTTTCCACCAACTCCAGTTAGAAAAAGTACAAGAAAGAACTCTGTCCTGGCTTGGGTTAGGTACCCATCTGGGGACATGAATCAATCTTTGTGGCCAGAGGGGGGCAACCATGGTTAGACAAGCTCTGGTCACACACCCACCACTGGATGGCAGGGTAGAGGGAAATAAGGGTAGGGAAGGAGAATGTTCTGACTAGTAGCTCCCACCAGAAGCACAGGGCTGGACTGGGAGAAAAATACTTCCTTAAAGGTAGGCATAGCCCATTTCTGGAAAGAAAGAGTGAAGGACTAAAACAACATGTCCAATACACTCTCAGTTAGTGGTCAAGTTAAAATATAAGGTAATGCTTATGCTTAATGAGTCACCCAGCCATAGTATTTGCTTTTTGCGTGTGTGCTGAGGAAGATTCGCCCTGAACTAACAATCTTTCTCTTTTTTTTGCTTGAGGAAGACTGGCCCTGAGCTAACATCTGTGCCAATCTTCTTCTATTTTGTATGTGGGTCACCGCCACAACATGGCTGATGAGTGGTGTAAGTCTGCACCCAGGATCCAAACCCTTGAACCTGGGCTGCCAAAGTGTGAACTTAACTACTAGGCCACTGGGTCAGCCCTGAGTATTTGCATGTTTTAAGTAGATTCTTCTTGATAAAAAAGAGATCTTCATGATCCAAGAGATAAATGTCTATGGTATAATTTCAAACCTCTTAATAGATGGAGAGTAAATCACTTTGGAAAAGGAATCCCCTTCCAGCCTCCATCAAGTGACATCATGGTTGCCTACTCTACAGGCCTACCTTATTCTAACAACTGAAATTGCAAAAAGGGGAAAAAGTATTAATTCTAAGTAACATGTTACCTGGATTAACATAAAGCTACTTCTCTATTATAGTTACAAACTGATGCTTATAGTTCCAACAAGCAGATTAATGAAATATTTCCAAATAAATTAGAATTTCCTCTTACCCAAATGTGGAAGTCTTTTCCTGGTTTGTTTCATTTTCTAAGTAAGTCTATATATTAAGTTTCCGTTCAGCTCTTCTGATCAGAGGGATGTTCCAGAATATTGAGAATACTTTTAAGCATACTCAAATTGATGAAACAGTGTACTATCAAACTTTTTTGTTTACGTAAAACACAGTAAACTATTTCATTGGCTATGTACTTAAGTTACATCCAAAGAAATAAATGATTTAAGTCAACGGAAAGTTTAACTGAAAAGAAAAACATCTTTATCGTAAAACTGGCACAGCAGGATACTTACTAACAGCCTGAGTGTTGTTTGTTGATTTTGCTTTGTGCAAATAATCACAGCCCAAAGGCAGATTCCTTCCGTCATTTCCACAGCCTTCGCCTGAAGTGCATACAGCTTTATTTACTAGCAGAATTCAGTGAAATGCCTATTGTACTCTTTCAAAGCTTGAGTCCACCTTTTGGTAAACCTTAGTCTGCAGAAATCTAAGGTTAAATTTCAAAACAACCTTTGCTTCCTTTGGCTTAGGAGGACAAAGTTACTTTGCAAAAGACCTTATTGACTAAGTCCTGTTGTTGGTATGTGAGCATTAAGTCACTTGCTATGATGAAAGCTCCTATCTTTGACCAGAACATGGAGGGCCTGGTTTGTAGATTTCAAGCTAGCATGCTATAGGGAATGCATGCTTCTGGATTTTTTTTCATTTAATTCTTTTCTCTTAATATGCACATCTGGCATGCAAATAAGGTCTCTAGCCCCCACATGCAAGTTCCCGTTGTCCCAGTGAAAGCCATATCAACTTTAAGTCCTCTTTTGGTTTCACTCCATTAGGAAGACACTCCCAGGTAGTGCAGGTGCGTCCTAGGGCAAGCTTATCCAGGAATCAGTGTCTGAGTAGAGCCCACCACACTTTTGAGGGAGGCCTATAACAAGATTGACATTTCACAGATTTTCAGTGACACAAGACTGCTTTTAAACATTATCCCATTAATTTTAAGAATCAGACCGTTGCTGTCCTATATCCCTTGTTTTTTTTGAGGAAGATTAGCCCTGAGCTAACATCTGCCGCCAATCCTCCTCATTTTGCTGAGGAAGCCTAGCCCTGAGCTAACATCCATGCCCATCCTTCTTTATTTTATGTGGGACGCCTGCCACAGTATGGCTTGACAAGCGATGCACAGGTCCGTGCTAGGGATCCAAACCAGCGAACCCTGGCCGCCGAAGCAAAACATGCAAACTTAACTACTGCGCCACTGGGCTGGCCCCTGTCCTATATCCTTAAGAAGATCAGGAGATATATCTCTGTGCCAACACCCTAGAGTCAACTCTAATCATTTTAAAGAGTATGTTTTATCATGACGGCCACCCCCGTCATGATAAAACACTCAGGCACTCAGTCCAAACCATCTCTCCTTTTTATCACTCCTCCTGCAAATGTCCTCAGGATTAAAGGTCCTATTGCAACTAGGTGTTAAGAAAATAGGGAGTTCAGGGTGATGAAATATTCTGGAATTAAATTGCGACAATGGTTACACAACATTGTTAATGTGGTAAAACCACTGAACTGTACACTTTAAAATGGTTAACATGGTGAATTTTATGTTGTGTGAATTTTATTTCAATTAGAAAAAAGAAAAAACCTTGATTAAAACAATCCTCACTAAAATGTAATGACTAACCCCCTGTTAAGCGTAAGTGTATTTTAATGAGAGTGCTTTGGGTCTAAATAAAATCTTGACTTGGTAGAATTCCAAGCCTTTAGAGAGAGGTCATATTAATACTTATTGGAGTAAGGCTAGTCGCGTATAGTTATCCATTTGTATCTAGGCTTTTTGGACACTGCCAACCCCTTCTCTTCTTCTTTCTCTCTATGAAGCTCTTTGAAAGGCTGCTCTTCCTCAGACTAGGAAACAATAACTTGATCAGTAGTTCTACTCGCAACCTTTTCTCACCACTGAACACAGATATTTATTTTGCCCGTCTACTTAGAGTTTCCTAAGAAGGTAACAATGAAAGCTCTGGGATCTCACTGTTTCAACTGCTGGGACTTGGACAAAAGGCATTGCTCACCACCCGTGTCATCAGGCTGCTTGTTGCTCAGTCTGATATTTGGTCAAAACTCAGACAGGCAGCCTGTACTTCCCCAGTGCTGCCAAGGGTGCCACTATCTTGACACAGAGTGATAAGAATTTAGGGGGGAAAAGGTGGAGAATCCCCCCCAACACACATTATTATCCCAACATTCGCAGAAAAAGGTTTTCTTTTAAGCTCTCCTATTGAATCCTCAGATATAGAAACCAATCCAAGGTGGGATATTTTACATTTAGACCATAAACTCCAGCAACTAACAGTAGGCAAAATGAGAGAGGGTAGAAGTGATAACTTCACGGTGTGCTTTTTAAGTATCACAAGTTCCTAAGGAGTTTTAGTATTTATCTCACAGAAATAGCTTGTATTTCTCATAGAAATAGCAAACGGATTATCTTTATAATCTCTAGGTACAATTCAGAGATTGTCTGTCAGTTTGTCTCTTCCTTTGTCCATTGCAGTCTTCCCCAATAGAGCCACTGGACCCCAAAGCCAGTCTTCTCACTGATTTCAGAAGTTCCCTTAAAGACAAGCAACTGCTCCAGAAGTCCCTGCAAAACTTAGGGATTTATTGCACGAAGATCCCAAGAAATGTTACTTATTCAGTATGTGCAAATTTAGGGTGATTTTAATTTTCAAAAGAACATTCCAGAGACCTCTAAGCTTAAAAATCACTCACGTAAAAACTAGGCATTGGTCAGGACTTTGCTGATTGCAAGTGACAGAAACCAAACTGAAACTAGTTTAACCAAAAAAGAAATTTACCAGCTCCTGAGGCTGGCAAGAAGGCAGAGTCACAGGGTTTCTGGACTGCTCATTCGGCTCCTCTTTGCCATTGGCCCCATCTGGGCAATTGCAGCCGCAGATCAGGAAAGGGTGCCCTGGCCTGACAGTCTATAGTGAACCTCTGTTTCTGTCTGCTCAGATCCACTTCCCCATTCTCTCCGTAGCAGAAGCATGATTTTTTAATCATGCTTTTCCCTTTGGGAAAGTACTCTCCCATTCTCTGTAGTCCTGTGGGACTGTCAGTCAGGGTGTCTCTTTCCCCCTTGACCAAGGGGAAGGCTTGTGACTAACTGAGCCAATCACACTTGCTCTTTTTCCGGAAACTGAATCTTTTTTAAAAAATTCAACTGTATCATTTCTTTTCTTTTCTGGGGGGAAAGGGCGGTGATTATGGGAAACTTGAATCTTGAGCTGAGTTGAGTGAAGGAGGACAGAAAAAGACTAGAGCTGATTCGTTCTGGAGGTTGGGCCCTGGCACCTGAGAAAACCCTCTACTAGTTTTTTATCTTTTATCTTTTTTTTTTTTGCTTTTTCTCCCCAAATCCCCCCAGTACATAGTTGTATATTTTAGTTGTGGGTCCTACTAGTTGTGGCATGTGGGATGCCGCCTCAACATGGCCTGATGAGTGGTGCCATGTCTGCACCCAGGATCCGAACCAGCGAAACCCTAGGCCGCCGGAGCCGAGTGCGTGAACTTAACCACTCAGCCACAGGGCCGGCCCCTACTGCTACTTTTTGATATCTATATCCCTAAGGTTGACTTCACGAGGTGTGACTGTTAAGCTTTCCTTCAACACTGAGAGCTATCTCATATGCTTCCAACAAACTCTTTTTTTGGCTTAAAGTAGTCAGAATTGGCTTATAATACTTACAAGCACAGAACTTTAATTTATACCCAATTCCAGGGAAAAGAACTTCTTTCTCACACAATCAATACAGAAATCTCAGGGAAGGAATTTGATTGACCCTCCTTGTATCACAATCTTACCAGAGGATCAATTGCTGTGGCCAAGACAATGGGGTGTTATCATGGACCACACCTGGGTCATGTGCCAAAGGTCAAGGACTAGAGAATATTATCAGATAAAAGAAGATGGGAAAAACTTCTGGACAGAAGACAAAAAATACCTCTCACTGTCCCCTTTAATCTATTTTAGTTAAACCTTTAAACTTGGAGAAGACAGCCACGAGCTGAAGATCAGTTTTATCTTGTCAGGAAAATACAAAATTTATCTTCTTTCTCCCCCTATTATTTTCAAACTGCATATCTAGGCCCTTCCTTTGCAAAAGGTCTGGAAATCTATTCATTTTATAGTGAACAAAGGGTAAGAAGATCCATTCTGAAATTTTTGGTTAGGGTCCAGTATTTGCTAGCTATACCAGCTGTGGGAATTCAATGATGTCAAGGTCCCCTCCCTCCTTTGTTTGTAAGACTAATTTTAGAATTACACTAGTATCAGGAAATAGTATTCCCTTCCTTCTGTCCATCCCTTAGGAATGGTTTTTAAAAAAAGTCTTCTGGCTTCTGTATCCAGAGAGGTTGGATGAAAGGGCAAGGGCCAGCTAAATGTCAGACAAGGCACATGGGAATTGGAGCTTGATCAATTTCAAAGGCTTCCTACTTAACCACGGAGACTGCTCTGAGCACCAGAAGAGCATGTGCTGTTTGGGAATGCTGTTAAATAGCCTGGAATAGAGCTGAGAAGAAAGATGATTCTTTCCAGGAAATTTGCAGAGCAGTCGTGAGAACTCCTTTGTCAAACATCGGTAGGTAGATGGACATTTACTTGTCAACATAAGCTGAAATGGGAGAATTTGAGGTTGCAAACAATTGTCAGCCAGCTGTCAATAGTAGTGCAGCTGTTCCTAGTACAAACCTCTTGTTGCCAAAGTAGAAAAAGTGAATAATGTTATCTCCTGTATTCCCCAGAAACCTCAATATTATTTTATTTAATGACTCAATGTTTCCTGATAGGAGGTTAAAGTTAGAGAAGAGCTACATTGGTCATATGAATAAATTTGGAGGACTGAGTGGATAATTTTGGAGAGTTTGAGCTCATCAAATCAAATTTAAAAAAGATGCACAGAACAAGATTCTGCTGGACAAATGGGTGCCTTCTGTTTGAAGGCATAGGATTTATTTCTGGCTGGTGGGATAGTGTTAGAAATATACATATATATATATATATATATATATATATATATATACATTAAATATATACCCCTATTTG